AAAGTGCCCAACTGGAAGGCCTGCATGACATGTGACTGTGAAAGGTATCTTACTAGTTTGGGGACAGTAATGTTCCGTTCCCCCGTTCGCCTCAGGCCTCAGAAGTCTGTCTAAGTATACGCTTGAATTTGCTGTATATTAACGGGGTAGAAGTAAAGGCTGATCCACCTTTTACAGCTACCCCAAGGGTTTATATACAATCTAATACATTCTCGGCACAAATAAATAGAGAAGCTTCTGCGACGCTAAATTAGCGTCGTGACATAATTATTACACAACACAACACCAACTGATGTTGTGGGCGGAATATAGACATGGGCCGGGGCCTCACATCCTCCTCCCTTGCGATATTAAATCACAGACAGGGTACAAGCATATATACACAAGGGGAAAGCAAGCATTTCTAAAGAAATAAAATTTTAACGTTCTACATACGAAAGATGTATGCAAACAGGGGCACACTCATTGCAGGAGGCTATAATAGTAGTTTGTAGGTGAGGCCCGCTTAGAGTTTCTCCTGGAACATATGCACCCAGATCTCGATGACAGTGTTGTCGACGATGGAACGACTTTCTTGTCGTTGTGAGTTTATTAAATACCATCGTCCACCGTGACGATGTTGACAGTGCAGGTCGTTGACAGCAGAGTTGTCGCCGACGAAGAAAATGAATACTCAATGATGTTGTTGTTGGCGAAAGATGAAGGGTACAGAATATACAATCAACGACAGTGTTGTTGTTGATGAAGGTAAGAAGTTATTAATCAATGACGGCATTGTCATTGAGAAGGTATGGATATGAGGGGGTCAGTTCCTCATTCATTTACACGGTGTGGACCCGGATGGGCCAGAGCTGGATGGGCAATTCAATGTAGTCCTACGAGTCATCGTGGACCTAGCTGCGTCAACAGCGACATCATCGCTGAGATAGTTGTTGTCGTAGTGACAAGTCTCGACATCAGCGTCGTTCATGGATGAATCCTCGTCTTGACGACGGTGTGAGTAATGGACATGGTGCGCAGGATGGCCGCGTCCATGAGAAGAGGAGGGAGCACGCCCTTGCACTGGTGGTGCGTGGGCAGATTCGTACACTGACGAGTGTGCATACGTCAGAGGGGGGTATTGCGGTGGAGGTGGGGCATTCGAATACGCCTGTTACAGGAATGGGTTCCGAGGAACCCAACCTGAGCTGTTCAGCTCACTAATGGAGGTGGCTGCATAGCCATCGGAGGGAGAGCAGAATTGGATGAGTGTACGGAAGTACAACCTGTGTGTCGGCCAACGGTAACTTGGCGCTCCAGGGAGCGTACCGGTAGCGAGTATGATGTGGGCTCCTTGAGGGAGCCACCTGGCTGTCTGCTAACGGGGACTTGGCGCTCCTGGGAGCGTGCCGGTAGTGGGTGTGCTGGGAGTGTTTGGCTAGCGGTGACTTGGTGCTCAATGGAGCATACCGGTAGTGAGGGATACTGGGACTCCCAAAGGGAGTCACCCAGTTGGTGGCTATCGGTGACTTGGCGCTCATGGGAGCATACCGGTAGCAGGAGTTGTTGGGGAAAGCGGGCTGGTGGACCAGTGCACGGTAGTGGGTGACCGTGGGAAGTGGGACCCACAGGTGCATGGCCAGGCATCCTGGAGCTGCCTAGACCGTATCCTTCTCCTGAGGAGGTGGGATAGGCTACAGTTCCTGATAGGGAACTTCTGGTTGGATGGGAGTAACCACTCAACCACCCGGTGGACTGGTGGGAGTGGGCAGCAGGAGGTTGGGCGTGGGATTGCCCTCCTTGCTGCGGTTTTGTCATGGAAAGGAGGAATAGGGAGGTGGACATGGTTCCAGGGTTACAGGCTGAGTTTACAGTGGTGACACAATGGTGAGGATGTTACAATTGTGGTACAAGGTTTGTGGGTTATGTATTTGATAATGAGAACAGTTCCGGCATCTGCCTTATACATCATATGACTTCTAACTATCTAATATAAAAATCATAATGGTCAAAGGAAGTCCCTTGAAACTCAACAAATCCCCCAGCCAGCACCAAAACCCAGTGGGAAAGCTTGGCATGGGGTTTGACAAAGAAATAAAGTTGAAGGGGCTAAGGTTTGATTGTCTATAGTCATGGACCATAAGATTCTAGGTCCATTCCCATAACATCACCCCCCAGACTCTTATGGGCCAGTGTGACAGCCATATTGACCCTTCAAGAACCCGGTTCCCAGTGCTGAAGATTTGGTGACAAGGAAGATAGGCTGGCGACCCGGACCTGGCCCTCATGATTGTTGCAAGTTGGCTGGCCTCGGTTTTGAGTTCTAGTCCAACAATTGGTTTGGGCAGTATGATCTCATGTACAATCTTATTTGGGATAGACACGGAAGACCAGGTGTCCCAGAGTCATATCATCCATCTGTGGTCCAGCTTGGCAACTCGGTCCAGGAACTGCAGCATGTCCTGCTTCCATACAGAGATTCCCCTCCATCACGCAAAATTGTGAGGATTAATATGGGTGTTGGCCAGATAAGGTGAGTCTATCGGACTGCTCACAGCCGGATTGGTCTAGCAGTTAGTGGTGTTGTGTCTTGGGGTTTCACCCATTCAGGAAATGTCGGGGGTGTCTGGGGAACGTTTGGCAGGTGGGGTACACTCATCATAATCGACCTGCTATGATAGGACCAGTGGTGACACGATTCCCAAATACAATGGCTCGGAGGCAGTCCACGCATGATTGGAAACCCGGATCATCAATCTCCTCACCCGGCCCGCATATGAGTTGGGTCTAGTCATATGGAGAAGTGTCAGTATCAACCATTGGCGAGAGGGATTCATTCTGGAGATCGTCGCGGGGTAGTCTAGTTTCGTAGCACATCTCGCGGTGGACCTCCAAGGGTGAGTGATCGGTTCAGTGCTGCTAGGTGGTAAAACTTCCGCACTGGGTAGTGAAGTAACCTCAGAGTACCGGTATGGACATTTCGAGTTCACACGTGCCAAGGGGTGTTCCAGATGAGCTTCAGAGCGCTAACCTCGATTTCAGCCTCGGGAACCATCCCCTGGTACCAGACCTGCATCGGCAGTGGGCACTCAGGGTGGCAACTACGACGATTTGGGATACAGCATCATCCATCCCTCACGCATGAGCAAGGCCATCTGTACCGGTTCGGGTCTTCTAAGGGTCGACATAGGTCGGGCTGAACGTGCGAAACAGCAGTTGAGACCAAAGATCCAGTACCATTTGTGGCGGTCACCGACTTGGCAGGTCGAACCTATAACCTTGGACATGGGAAGTCCCCTCCACTCTGCACTTAGGCCAGCAGATTGTCGTTGGCAGCGGAGTCGTTGATGCAAGTGCAGGGATGCAGAAGGTTCATGTCATACATACTTGTGCCCTCTACTTGCGTTGAGTGCGATCGATAGCCTGCAAGGCCCCTGTAGCGGCCAGAGGAACGGTTCCCGGCGCAACTCGAAACCTGGTTGAGTGGTGCCAACCATCCGTAGGCACCACATCTCGATAAGGTGACCAAGTGGACGCGGGGATATAACGGTATGGTCAGATGCCATGAGTTTGCAGATGGCAGTGACGAGAGCAGACAATCCATCTGGAGACCTTACTCGCTCGAGAGAGCGATGCGTTGAGGGTGTTCCCTGACCCAAGGCTCCAGACCGTAGTGATGCGTATACCTATCTTTGTTGGCACGTAACCTTGTAAGTATCATGCTATAGTTCACGAGTGAGGCTTCCGTCGTGGTGCCGGGGTCAAAGTCGGAACCCAAGCCGAGAGGAGATCCTTGGGTACTGCACCACCCTGAACATACGTCGACTTTGACGGAAATGGAGAAATCAGAAAGTCTAGCGCCAATCACACTGGCACTGGGATGAGAAGTTGGTAGCCTTCAATGCCGGGAGAGGCATGCAGTGTCGAGTGGTTGGGTTAGAGATGCCTGGTGAAGTCGAGCACGGAACCACCCAGCCGAGATGGCTTGGCAGCGGCCAGGTTAGGTGCGAAGATACGCGTGCGGTATAGTTTGGGTTGGGATTAGCCTCCCTGGGAGGGTGATGACCGATGGTTTGGAACTCGATGATTCTGATCGTAATTGAGACTGACGCAAGAACTGGTGCACAAGAATGGAAGCTGAGACTGCTGGTACTGGATCCAGATAGAGAGTAGTATTTGGTTGGCATAATGAAGGTAGCCAACTGAGCTGAAGTCAGTCGAAGGTACGGGTAGTTCCCCTCCATGACCAGAGACATGGAGGTCACCATCGAGAGTTGTAATCGTTGACTCCAATATATCTTGACCACGCTGCGAGCTCTCACTCCCATCCTAATCACTGATGCTGCCCAGCGAATTTCGATCAGCCATGGCTGCTTTCAGGCATTGGGAATGGGTGCAGAGAGGGAGCGCTGAGAGAACGGGGATTGGGAAATTCGAAACAAATAATAGTAAACAGATTCGCTGGACGCGTGTGCCCTTTCCTTCAAGCATCGGCCCAATATGGGGCTGAGGCGAAGACCAGGGGTCTCAGAGATAGCTCGGAGGGAAGGAAAGGGGAACCAGTCTGTTGAATCCCTCTAACCCCAAGTTGAATCTCTCTCCCTCTGTATTTAACGGGTGCAATGATAGGACGTCGCTGAAGACTTGTCTGATGTAAGTGTTATTTGGGACAGTTCTCTGGCAGAGGAAACGGCTTTCTGAGAGCCCGGTTGCTGAACCTTGAGGGCTCAGCTTCTCTTCCCCTGCACTGGTCCGACGTGATTGAATGTAGGGTGAGTGTGCAAGGACACGGGAAGATTGTGTGGGTTCGGAAGTCAGTGGAGATGGACCAACCGCACGGTGTGATACTGGGAAGGCAGAATGAATCAGATTGGGAAGCGAGTTCTCCTGTTTGATCAGGTGAGGAGACCACCCCAGAGGGCGCAGTAGGGCAATCGGATTCGATGTTCTGACGACGCAGCTGTGGACTCGGGAGCCATTGAGGATGCAGAGATAGATAGGCAGCTGGCCTGTAAGAGATGTCACTGCGAGCATCTGGGCTGAGTCAAGGCGACGGTTTCTCTGCCGGGACTCGCGCTCGTGCGGCAATGCAGAGTAGCACTTAGTCTGCTAGTAGGGAAGGAGACAACTTGTATTAGGATACTGCCGTTACCAATCTTATGGTGCCCTATAGATGTTCTTGGCCTCGAGTTTGCACAGCTCCGTGCGGCGCGTAATTCGTCAGGCTCGGGACGACCTGAGACCAACAACGGGACATAGAAACTCTTCCTAGGTTTGTCCTTGGTCGGGCCCAGCGAATAACGAATCGTGGCTGCCGTCTGGATGAGAACCCATATTGCAGTGGGGATCACCTTCGGTTTGGCACGACTGATCTCCAAGCAGCGGGACTTGGCAGGTGGATGAGCTGCATTTGATGACCACAGCGATATCTTGGAGGTGAGATATACCATATCCGGCAGGTACAGCATCTCACGAGGGTGGTGCCATGACAGCGCTTGCATCGTATCTGCTGTTTTCAGGCACAATGCTATGGCGTACATCCATTTGGGAGGTCCAAGACACGACCTGGACAGTCGAGCCTGGAGTGGCTCCATGTGCGATGGCTGAGGCTCTGACTGTGTCCACGCTGGTGAATGTGCTTGCTCAGAGAGATGCTGCGCAGGAACGGTCAAAGTGTCTGACGGATCAAACAAATATAACAGCTCAAATGCGCGACAGATCGAATTACCCGCCGATTCCAGAGGACGGCAGACATGTACCACCGATAGATCCGACTGATCCTGCAAGGGTGATTTGATAGCGTGTTGTGCTGAACTGACAGGTCGCATTGCCAATGGCGTACAAGCCGTGGGCGGACCGCACGAACGCGCCAGCTCAAGAAGGTGATGCCCTGTCTCAGTTGGAGGGTCTGAGTGAACATGCGGGGATGCTGACCCAAACACCTGACGCATCCTCCTGGTGGAATGCACGGAGATCTGTAGGTGGACTAACGGCGAACAACATAGCCCATGCAGGCATGCCGGCCCATGAAGTCGAAAAGCGGGGACGACTGTTGCTACTGAATGATGAGACGACCGCAGGGATGCTGACTCGAGAAAGGGGTGAGCGGGAACGGTCAGAGAGCCTGCGTGCGTTGAAGAAGAGGTCAACTCGACCGCTTGGCAGGACAAACGGATGTGATCCATCTTAATCAACCGACCAGACATGACTGTAAGACGCGGAGGGCACGAGCATTCAGGCTTGAGAGAGCCAGAAGGAAGAGTAGCTGGGCGATCCATCTCTGAGTGACATGATACACGCAGGTGTGCCAGCTTGATAGGATGGCCTGAAGAATCGACCAGAGGGTCCAACTGAAGGGACAGATCCCTACTGTCGACGGACGAGGTAATTGAGAGATGACCACCATTGATGTAAGAGGTGGAGTATAGCCGCGTTAGCGTCATAATCTGGGTTCCACCCGGATGGGGGTTAACTGCGTAGGTTCCGCAGCTGGGATTCTCGTTGAGTGCCAGAACCTTAATGAGGATAGGCCGTCCTTCGACCTGAATGGAACGGTGACCAGGATAGATACAGTACTCGTCTGTACCAACGGATCGTGTGGTCCTTTGACGCATTGGACCACAGCATGCTAACACAAATGAAAGATGCAAAGGGGCGGCTGGATGGTTCGATTGGTTAGACGAAGACGCCAGTTCACGATTCAAGCCACCGGTGGGCAAGGTGATTGGGAGATGACCGCCCTTGATATTGGGGTCGCAGCCAAGCCACATCGACATCTTTGTTGTTCCCTCGGGGTTTCTAGTTGCAGACCAATGAAAATTTCCAATTTTATACCCAATCCGAGTTCCATCCAGTTGGAGGCTAAACGTGTAGGTTTTGCGGCTGTGACCTTTGTTGAGAACCGGATTACCTGTGAGGACGATGGACTGCCCTTCAACAGGGACGGCTGGGAAATCCAACCAGTCATGCAATGATATTGGTTCGATTGCTAAGTGTGTCGGTGTATATGCTGCTACCAGGTGACACAACGTATGCAAGCACGCTGGCTCAAACGTGGAGCATGATGGGACAACTGGCTGACCAGCCACGACCGAGTGATGGAGTTCACGGGCGTGTTCTGGCTCACATGGGTGATGTGGAGGATTCACCCAAGGGTCTGACCAGATTGGCGAAGACATCAGCACCTGGGTCCCACCATCGAAGGGTGAGATGATTGGGGAACAATTGCCCTTGGCATCAGCAGCGGGGTTCCGCGACATAGGAGTCATGACCTGAGTTCCCTCCAACTGGGAGTTGGACACGTTGACCTTGTAGCTGAGAGTCTTGTAGTGTGCCTGAACACCACGACTGACTGAGCATGTGATTGCTTGACAGGTCGAAACAGTGCCCCAGCTTGTGAGGACGACGTGATTAAGACTCGTTGGGTTATCCACTAAGGATTCTCGCTGAGATGCCTGGTGCGTCATCCTAGTGGAACGCACCGACATCGGTAGATGGGCTACTGGCGAACAACATAGCCCATGCAGGTATGCTGGCTCAGGGAGTTGACAAGCGGGGATTGTGGGGAGGTCCAACCAGTTGTATGAGGATGTCGACTCATCTGCACGGTGCAATGTACTAGCGGGATGAGTCTTAATCAGTGTGTGTGCTGATACCGAGTGGTGCGACCACTGCCAGTGCGCTGTCTCGAGAAGGGAGTGCATAGAAACAGTCAATAGGCCTACAAGAGTAGATGAAGGGGTCGGCTTGACCGCTTGGCATGATGAACGGATGTGATTCGTCACGATTGGTCAACTGGTCAGGGCTGAGTGACACAGATGGCGCAAACACCCAGGTTCGAGAATGCAGGATGTAAGAACAGCCAGATGGTCCTTGTTTGATTCTCCTACCCCTGAGTAATCTGTCTCGCGTGAGTATGCTGACTCGTTTGGACGACGCAAGGGATCGGCCAGAAGGTTCATCTGGCGATACGCTAAGGCCAATGGATGGACCACCACTGAATTGTACGACTCAAGCAGACATGCTAGCTCAAGGGTATGGTGTGAAATGACAGTCGACGGGTTCGACTGGCCCAGCAAAGATGTCAACTCTATCGCACAATACGCTGCGGTGACAGTATGCATCGTGCATAGTGGGTGCACCATGGTTGAGCATTGCAGCTCACGTGAACACTCTCATTCAGGAGGATGACGCGAAGGGGTGTCCAGAGGAAATGACTGGGCGAGAGGTAACGTCGATTTGGAGGCATGACACTTCATGCTGACATAGTGTGTCATACTTGAATCATGGACCACACCGGGCAATGTCACCGGCTCAATCGCTTGGCCCATCAAATTGATGGAAAACGCAGCATTCGATGAGCCAGCCAGGCTGAATGATACCGTTCACCTAGCTCATATGAATGATGTGGGGGATTCGCTGGAGAATCCGACCTGACAAGCGGAGATAGCAGTTCACGGATCCAACCGTCAATGGACGAGGTGATTGGGAAATGGCCGCCCTTGGCATCAGTATCGTGCCTTGACCACATTAGCATCATAATCTGAGTTCCACCCAGCTGGGGGTTAGACATGATGACTTCACAGTGGAAAACTTTGTTGAGTGCCTGTGGTGATCCAGCACTGACTGAATGGTACGGATCATACCAGCCTCCCAGCCCACGAGAGTGACGGGAGTAAGCTGCCAGATGGCCCAACAAACGGACAAGAGTGTCGGGCCGTCTAGTTGCATCACGCTCGATGGGTCATCGGTCAAGGGGTCTGGCGACTCGGGAGTACAGTGCAAAATAGTGACCCAAGGGACCGACTGGGCCAGTGAGGGCGCCGGCTCAATGGCGTGACACGAGTGTAACTGGACTAGCGATAATGTTGAATTGACGACATGACGCGCTAGGCTGGTGTATCGAGTCATACTCGACGGAGAGGTCACATCTGAGCGACGCGACTCGTCTGAACTTGTCGACTCTGGTGGTTGCCACAAAAGACCAATGGGGAACCACCTGGGCAGGTTCCGCGAAGGTGTGACCAGGCGTTCCGGTCGTCCCATTGACTTCAGTTTGACTAGGTAACATGACGGATTGTGGGAGCAATGGATCACTCCTGGAGAATGGGCCATGACTGGACGAAACGGCTTAGTTGGACGTGCCAGCTCAGGTAAGTGCCACATAGGAGTAGCCATTCGACCTGACAGGAGGGTCGAGCTGCTGGAAAGTGCCGCACTTGGCAAGCTGACCACGACTGAGTGATCCGGCACATGTAAGCAGGATGGTTTGAGATGACTGGTGAATCCAGCAGGGCAATCAGGAGCATTGATCTAACTATATAACACACCATGTTAATAGCGTGGGTTGTGCTCAATGACCGGGCCATGACCAAGCGATGCAGCTCCTCTGAGTGTATTGGCTCAGGCGGACACCGTGAGGGACCAGTGAGGGAAACCAGCTGGCCAGATCGTGATGTTAACTCGGCCATGGAAGGTGTCAAGCTGATTGGGCATGCTGGCTCCGATGAACGTGGCCCCAGTGGATGCTGCGAAAGAACAGACGATGGGCCCATCTGGATATTCGGGAACGTCGATTCCGCTATGTGTCGTGCCATACCGCCAAGGTTTGTTGTACCAGATAGACAGGACACGTCTGATTGCAGCGATTTGAGCGAGTATGACAGCCCAGGCAGGCCTTGTGAGCTATCAGTCGAGAGGTTTGCCTGAACAGGCGAAAGTGATGGTTCGACTTTGCGACATGATGGGCTAATGGCAGCCATTGTGTTTGTTGAATGGGCCGTAACCAAGCAAGGCAGCCCGAACGGGGACACTGGCCCAAGTGATTGTCGTGGAGATGCAATTGGGCGATCCAACTGTGCCGGCAATGACAACGATTCTGCCTTGCTACAGGTTGGGCTAGCGAAGTACCCTGTGCATGACAATTGTGCCGCGACTGGACAAAGTTGCACTGTTGGGCGTCCCGGCTCCAGTGAGTGCTGCACAGGAGTGGTCATCTGATGAGAACAGGGCATCGGGCTGTTGTAACGTGTTGTATTGGATGTACAAGCTGCAACTGGACCATCTGGTGCTGAGGACGGGCGCAGTGAGGGCAACTCCAATTTCACTGCAGCGGGCAATATCGCAATGACCTCAGGTGTACAAGGTTGTACTGGTACGAATGAGGGGTTGGCTGTGACGATACGGGAGCTCGCTGCTCGGGACTGCGTGAGGACAAGGGCCTCCTTAACACTTTCGAAATGTAGAACGAAATCAGCCAGTTTTCGCTGTAAATAGTTCCAAGTTCGATGTAAAGTGCTTAACTCGGTCCAGCCCAATGTGATCAATGTCGTAAGGATGATCTGTCCTGGGTCTGCCTTGAACATGGCAGGGATGAGATTGGAGTTGGAGATTGTTTGGGTGAACCGGTCCATCGCTTGAAGGATCAGTATCAGCTGTTGACCACGCTCATCCGTGATGCGGTAAGAGGTTGAGGAGTCTGTAGCCAGTTTGCGGAATGACTGAACCTCTATGTCGTCTGGGCCCAGCTGTTGCCACTCATGTAGCAAGTCCATAGGCGTGCGCTCATAATAGAATCTCCGTGGTGATGAAAACTCGTCTAACACATGCTTTAGTGGGATGGTGGAATGCTGGTAGTCTGAGTTGACGGCACCCAAATTAGATGAGTAATCCTCCTGTGTGTGAGCTCGAGGTCACACGATTGAGTTTGATGCTGGTGCGACCGGGGTTGGGGCACCAATGTTACAGGAATGGGTTCCGAGGAACCCAACCTGAGCCGTTCGGCTCACTAATGGAGGTGGCTGCATAGCCATCGGAGGGAGAGCGGAATAGGATGAGTGTATGGAAGTACAACCTGTGTGTCGGCCAACGGTAACTTGGCACTCCAGGGAGCGTACCGGTAGCGAGTATGATGTGGGGAGCCACCTGGCTGTCTGCTAACAGGGACTTGGCGCTCCTGGGAGCGTGCCGGTAGCGGGTGTGCTGGGAGTGTTTGGCTAGCGGTGACTTGGTGCTCAATGGAGCATACCGGTAGTGAGGGATACTGGGACTCCCAAAGGGAGTCACCCAGTTGGTGGCTATCAGTGACTTGGCGCTCATGGGAGCATACCGGTAGCAGGAGTTGTTGGGGAAAGCGGGCTGGTGGACCAGTGCACGGTAGTGGGTGACTGTGGGAAGTGGGACCCGCAGGTGCATGGCCAGGCATCCTGGAGCTGCCTGGACCGTATCCTTCTCCTGAGGAGGTGGGATAGGCTACAGTTCCTGATAGGGAACTTCTGGTTGGATGGGAGTAACCACTCAACCACCCGGTGGACTGGTGGGAGTGGGCAGCAGGAGGTTGGGCGTGGGATTGCCCTCCTTGCTGCGGTTTTGTCATGGAAAGGAGGAATAGGGAGGTGGACATGGTTCCAGGGTTACAGGCTGAGTTTACAGTGGTGACACAATGGTGAGGATGTTACAATTGCGGTACAAGGTTTGTGGGTTATGTATTTGATAATGAGAACAGTTCCGGCATCTGCCTTATACATCATATGACTTCTAACTATCTAATATAAAAATCATAATGGTCAAAGGAAGTCCCTTGAAACTCAACAAATCCCCCAGCCAGCACCAAAACCCAGTGGGAAAGCTTGGCATGGGGTTTGACAAAGAAATAAAGTTGAAGGGGCTAAGGTTTGATTGTCTATAGTCACGGACCATAAGATTCTAGGTCCATTCCCATAACAACGCCACAGGGTGTGGGTTCGCATACATCATAGGTGGGTTTGAGTACGACGTTGGGGGAGGGTTCGAGTACATAAGTGCTCGTTCCTGATGTTGAATTTTACGACACTCGCAAGCATCGTCAGTCATTGGTTTTATCCATCGACACGCAAGGATGTACATCTGTGCAATACGAGCCGGGGGGTACTGGTCGGGAAGTCTTTTCGCCTCCATCTCAATATTGTTGTGCAACATACGCATTCGTGAGGCGTGGTTGTTTGTAGCCACCCTGTACCAGTCAGTACAGGTGTTGACGTCCTCTTGCAAGGGCTTGTGTCAGGGACAGCTCCAAAAGCGGCGAGGTCCCTGCGCGCGGGACTCGGTGGGACAGATGGCGGCTGTGCATAGCGGCGATCCCGTTGCGGGGTGAGCGTCCCCGACCACTTAGGCTGAAGTGGGAAGTTGAGAAGAAGGCTGCTTCTTCTGTTCTCACCCCAGGTGCTATTATATACATGTGGTCAGGGTCATGTGGGAGGAGCCACATCATCCCCGCACACAGCCGCACTCCCCTGGGTATCTCTGTGGGAGATCCCGGAGGTGTGCCACTCTGTGAGTGGGAATGCACGTGGCAGGTGCGGTGATCGGGGGAGCGGGGTTAGGTGTGTTAGTAATACATAGAGAAAGGGAAGTCGACCATAGAAGGAAATAGAAAGAAAGAAGGAAAAGGGGAAAGAAGAGACAAAGGGTGGTAGCGGGGAAGCGGAGTAGGGTGGCACGGCGCAGGGTCAGGTGGGGTGTGCCCTGACAGCTTGCCCATCTTGAACAACCAGGCAAGATGGTACATTGTAGCATAGAACCTCACACCTTCTTCGGTGTGTATGTAGTTTCAAACCAACTTGAACCACTTAGGTTCTTTGTCACGGACGAGCACAGCTGTGTCTGGGAATTCGATTCTATCGACATGGTCGATGTTGTAGAAGCAGGTAGGAAGGGCCACCGATCGACAATATGTCGGTGGGGGTAGGGGTTCGCCATGCACTTCAGTGAGTTTGGCGTCGTAGTACTCGTAGTAGTGGTAGCTGGGTGGACAGTTCGCGACGAATTCTTCGAAGGGGGCATCAGGATCGACGACCCATTCGCCTTCCATCTCGTCATTGTTGGACATGGGAGCCCATCTCTTGGAAGAGGTGGTTTTTTTTGACGGTGCAGACTTGGCCGACGCAGGATCCACTGGGCCAACCCCAGGGATAACGATGGTTTGGGGAACAGTGGGTCGTGACAACAAGGGAGCAGAAGATTGGATTGGGGCGGGTTTGGGAGACGCAGGGCATCCCCTTGCCATGTGTGCGACTCTAAAGACGTCCTCATTGAGTTCATCGTTGGCCTTTCGGAGGGATTCGACCCGTCGATGAAGATGGTCGTTTTCAGAACGCAGGTTGTCGGCCTCGTTCTGCAGCATCTCATACTTATTCCTGAGCTCATTGAGCTCATCATTCCTACGTTCGTCTTTGAATGTAGTCTCTTTACATTTCTCGAGTTTCTTCTCGATACGGGCCCACACGACTTCTGTAATCATTTTGAGTTGATCAAGCCCTGTCTGCATGGAATGCAGCAGGTGGGGGTATTTCTCACTCACGCTTACGCGAGTGGGCAGGACCAAATGGTCCTGTTTTGGGGTTAAAACACCCATGCTAGGTGCTTCCGGGGCGACAGTCTGAGCGACTGTGGAGTTGTTGTCCATCAACGACATGGCAGCATCCGTGGTGGGACTTACAGGTGGGGAGTTTGGACTGGAGTCTACGAGGGCCTCCTTGATGGGGGAAAGGTCGAGGGAAGAATCAGCGAGGGGGGATTCAGTCGCATTCATTTGAGCGATTTCAAATTTGATGGTAGGAAGCAGGATTTGATCCCGCTTTCATCGCATTTAGCCGATATTATTCGGATATTCCCGGACTTGCCAGTTTAGGCAACTCATGGCTTCAATGCCATAGTTGGCCGTGATAAGGCATTGATATCCACTGGTATCGGACCGGTAGGCGACGTTCACGCCGCGGTTGTGATGGTCCGCTGGATCTATTGTCTGGCATCTGATCCCATCGTTGACGGTTCAGTTCCTCGATGTTCTCTACCCCTTGTACTGTTAGGTAGTCATCCAATGCAATTAGATCGTTTACATTGGCCAAGGGTTCCCAAGTAAGGTCACCAAGTCCCCATCGGACATGGAACCATAAAGACTTATTGTCATCCCATTGATGGTCAACAATTTCCTTAACCTGATATTCCTGTTCTGGGTCGTCGCCAAAGTCGTAAAATACTTCTACAGCATGCCCAGGGAACAGCACAGAATCATTCGGCTCATGAGGTGCGAGCCATGAGACGTGGAACTTCGCAAAGATATTTCTTTGCGTCAGCAC